AAACTCTTTTGGGACACTCTTGTGGGACACTCTTGTGGGACACTCTTATAGGACACTCTTGTGGGACACTCTTGTGGCACACTCTTGTAGGACACTCTTGTGGGACACTCTTGTGGGTCACTCTTGTAGTCTCTTGTGTGACGCTCTGTGGGACACTCTTGTGGGACACTCTTGTGGGACAAGTTGTACTACAAGGTCGCCAGTTCTCAGCTTCCAGCTCCACCGGACAAATCGCACTCTCGCCTGCATTTCGCGCACTCAACACGCACGATCTCCGCAGAGGGTTGCGCGCGCGTGGGACAAATCGCACTCTGGCCTGCATTTCGCGCACTCGACACGCACGATCTCCGCAGAGGGTTGCGCGCGCATGGGACAAATCGCACTCTCGCCTGCATTTCGCGCACTCGACACGCACGATCTCCGCAGAGGGTTGCGCGCGCATGGGACAAATCGCACTCTCGCCTGCATTTGGTGCACTCGACGCACACGATCTCCGCAGAGGGTTGCGCGTCAAGTCTCCAAAACGAGCGTTTCGTACGAGACTTCCTCAAAAACTCACACGTCAAAGTCTGCAAAACGAGCGTTTCGTACGAGACTTCCTCCAAAAGTCAAGCGGAAACACCCATCGGAGCACACACACACATCACGCAGCCCTGCCAAGCAGTTTCGCGATTCCAGCCCCTCCAAACAACATCCGCTCACACGCCAATCCCAATGGGACAGCGACATTCACCTCTACCACAACTCACAACCTCACGATTCCCTGCGCCTGCCACGAATCTTTCCCCATCCACACGTCTAACGCGCACAAAGTACTGCGCCTGCCACGAAATGTCACCTCCCCCACACCTCGCAACCTCACGATTCCCTGCGCCTGCCACGAGAATTGCACTTCCACGCTTCAAAGCCCGCACGAAGTCCTGCGCCTGCCACGAAAAGTGACAATATCATCGCATGTGAGCTTCAACAAAATTTGCATCACACCACACGTTTGGAATGATTTCGACCCGTTCAGAGCACACTCCCATCCATCAAAATCGCCATTTCAGCTGAGACTTGTCACGAAAACAGAGCTTCGATGCCACACCCTGAAACGCAAATCCCAATGGCACGGCCACATCCAACACCCCAAAAACACGACTCTCCAAACGCTAATCCCAATGGAACTGCGCCGTAATCTGCGGATCTCACAAAACGCTGCGCCTGTGCAGCGAAGTGCATCACGTTTCTTGCGCGACATGTCCGTGTCACGCAAATCACAATGGAATAGCGGCGCAAACTGACACGTGACACATCCAGGCAAAGTCGCTTGCAAAAGCTTCCCCCAATGGCAGCAAATTTGAGACGCGACGACGACGAGAGACGACGACACGACGCAAGCCACGCGAACACAGCTCCAACCCCCAGACCCCCAACTATAAACGGGAACCCTTCGCTACGCATTCGGGAAAAACCCTGAATCGCGTTTCAATAATTTCTGCTCTCATGTCTACCTTTCCAGGCACTGCGCTGTGCATCTTAGGTCACTGGAGCGGCCAGACCCTCCTCCCTGCTAAATCGAGCCGGTCGACCTCTTGGTCGACGACTCTGTTCAAGTCGGCTGCCTTGGGATTTAGTGTGACAGATCTCACTGCATCCTGACCATGACAGGGTATACAGTATGCAGGTGTTACATGGAATTGCTTACTTGTAAGTGTGATTCTGACCATATTCTGACATACACGTCAAGCGTGTGTTTTTCTCTGTTTGCGGCTGTGCGACATCTTGAATTTCCACAGCGTTCTGGACCAATCAGCCTAGGTCAAGGGAACCAGAAGCCTCCTAAGGGCTTCAAGAAGTATTACGAAAAAGAGCCCACCCAGACTCAGAGCAGAGGTATCTTGGCGTTTTTCATGCAAGACAAGGGCTTTAAGGGCTCAGCTTTGAAGACTTGCTCTTTCCGAGTTTGCGGAAAGATCCAGCTTTCGTTCTCAGGGCTTCCGCAGCTGCCACATCAGAGTTCTGAGTCCGTGGAATTGAATGGCTAATGGCCGTTCGCAGTTTCTTCCCTGGTGGACCTTCATGTTAAATAGCCCTTTCCACCCGAGCCTGTGGAACCATAATCCACAAAATCGTCACTTGAGCCAACAGATTTCAGCGAAATCGTTGACCTCAGGAGGCAAGGAGGCGGAAGCGAAGGAGGCGAAGCCTTCGTCCAAGTGGCTCGTCGAGTGGTTGGGATTTCTCATATGGGTCGAAAAGGATCGAAGTCTATGACTTCCTCCACACTGGCCCCAAGCTAGCAGTGGTCACCGAGTCAGAGTGAAAGTAGGTGAGGGCCTGCTTTCCCACCTGACAAAGGATCATATTAATCTAAAGTTCCTGGTGCTTCCAGCATCTCTAAAACGCTTTCATCAACCATTAGGCATGAGGTGGTCTTCTACTATTTCAACCCCAAAGTCGGGCACCCACAAGCCAGCTTTCCATGAGGCAGAGAGCTGCATTCAAGAGGATCAGTTCATGATCAGACTCCTCAGCTTGGGTTTGTCTCAAGATATGCAAGCAGCTGAATTTCAGAACGCGAAGGGATTGATGCAGCGCGATCCAGGGCTTGTCCCCACGTTGTGACCAGCCTGACCTGAGATTTCTCATCCCAGGTCAGGCTCCCAGAAGGGGAAGAACGGGAAGGAACCGAAGCCTCCGGAGACTCTGATGGTGGTTGGGGGGGTGGCAAAAGGATGCCTCCCACATCGAGTTCTGCTTCACAGGGACTCTGTTAGTTTTACTCAAGACTTCCGGCATTCAATACGTGTTTGTGAAAAACTGAGAGCAGTTGTTTTGCAGGCAGGGAAATCGGGGGCATTGCATGGGAATGACTTTTGGCAAAGGGGCCTTGGTTTTGGGCTCCGGTGCTTTCTTGAGGGTTGAATTGTTCAGCGGCTGCAAGTACGCTATGCAAAGAGCACAAACACTCTTGTGGCTCATGGTGACACCCTGCTGCCTGCTTCAATGGAGCCCCTTGTTGTGGAGGTTTCTTTGCGCTGTTGAGCCATGAGGGTCGACCCGGTCGATGGGTGAGAACCAGATAGTTGGGATCTGATTTTGGGATTTGTGCTGGTTTTGACCTATTTCTTCTTTGTATCATGAAACCAAGAGTGCTAGAGTGCCAAGACAACGTCGCATGTCCCCACCTCCACCTCAACAACATGGTGGTTGGGTGGTTTTGTGTTCCTCCAGATCATGAGACCTTTGTCAATTTTCTCTAGGTGATCCTTCTGTAAGCGTTTTGTTCTTGATTGAGTTGGATGTCATGCAGACAAAAACGGTCACTCAAGGCATGTTGGGACGTTGAAGATAGACTTAGCACAAGACGAGAGACATGGCTTGAGATGTGTTCCTTTCCAGTCTAACAAGCGATCAGCACTGCAACACTAGTAGAGGTGCGTGGAGGCCAGCGTTCACAACTCGAGTGCTACTAGGCGCAGGATATCCCCAGGTGTGACATACTTCTGGGAGCTTTGTCTCAGTCCACGTTTCGCTGATTTTGACGTGTGAGCCATCTGAGGAGGGCAGCCCCCAAAGACAGCAGGCCACTGGGTGAAATTGTTGCAATTGGGTTCACTCAGGCTCCTGATGGACACTATCGCATCATTGGAGCGGTTAGAGTAACCTCCCTCGTACATGTCAAGTGCACTTGTTGGCGAGCCAGCATGTCGTCATAGGATGGGAAGCACTGGGCCAAGGGGAGCTTGCTGGAAATGGAACCTTCTTGTGACAAAGTGCAATCAGACAGTGTTACTGGGCAGTCAACTTGCACAACTTATATATGACCTCAGATTTGTCCAGCCACTGAGGACAAAAGCTGCATAAAGCTGCTACAGTGTCTAGAAAATGCTCGGTAAGTTGTAACAGCGGACAGATTGCATCAGACCCTCCCTCGCAGAGCTTCACATTGAAAGTGACCTACTATGTATGACATCCACCTAGGGATGAGGACTGGTGCACTGGTGAAGCCATGGCGAGACTTGTGCACAATTCGGGCAAGCTCTTCTCCAAGTCGAGTATTACTGTATCCAGTATTCGGGTTCTGTTGTGTTCTCTTCCCCTTTTGGTTGCGGTTTGGTGCCAGCCTGACAGGGGAAGCCGCACCTGACAGTTCGGTTGCTTGGGCACAGGTCCGACTCCTGCTCCTGACAACTGCTGGCGTGCTGACTGCCATGGTTGTGGGCCAAGAGAAGAAACCTGAAGGCGTGGAAATATGAAGCAGCCCGTGAATGCCTGCAGACGACACTGTTTCAGTGTGGGGTGTTGTGCAGTGTTGTCACAATCGCAATCTGTGGAATTATTCTTTATTTGAATCCTCTTTGTTGCAGGCTTTTCGATCCTCTTTTCACTTTAAGTCACAGGAAAGCCATCAGTTTGGTTTTCGAAAATCATTCCCACAGGCCATGCCATCCACTTCCATGATTATTGCAGAACTTGATTTCTGCAGGCGAAGAAATCATCCTCCAGGAGTTGCTGAGAGATTATTTGACCAAGGGCTCAGTGGCCTCTTGGTGGAAATATTTTGCGCCCTATGCGAAAGCCTTAAAGGACCACTCAGCTGAGACACTGCTCAAAGTTGCAGAATCCATTGTGGTTTTGTTTTGAAGCACATAGGACGCTACGGAAAGAATTGGTTTCTTTGGGCATTTTGGTGTAGCCTATTCAATTGATCAAGCTAGTAGCTGTGAAGTAGGATGACTTTGTCAGCGCCAGTCAGTCATGGGGTGCAGCCTGTTTGCGCATGCCTAGTTTGAGCATGCCTGAAAGCTACTTGTCTTAAGCATGTCCAGATAGCTAGGAATCATGACCCTAGCCTAAAGACCCTTGATTGAAGGTGGACTATATGTTTGCACAAAGTTGTACTGAGCTTGCCAGTCAGCTTTGGGGAATGGCATTCTAGTGAATCACAAGCCGTGAATCACAGATTGGGGACTCATTTATCCAGCACAGTGACTTGACTACCAATTCGCTGGCCGTGTATTTTCATGGTGATGGGTGACTAGCAAGAACTCTCTATCAAGCCTACAAAAAAACCAGCTAGCCCTCAAAACTCAACACATGGCAAATACAAAGTTTCAAGGTGAATTATACATCTACCCGGAGGGAACATGCGATCAGCCCACTAAGCAAATTGCAAATAAGAAGCACGGACATGTTGCTTGCCCAAAGGGAAGGAAGCAGTCGCAGACCCTCGTCTTTTGGACCAGAACTGTAAGCCATTCGAACGGTCTGCAGACGGCCGCTCGAAGGGTTCTGCTCGGTCGAGAAGCTTCCGTGTTTGGCCCGGCAAGCGTTCCACATCTACACTAACTCAGGATACACGTACGATCCTGCGCAGGGACAAAGGCCGGTTGAATTTGATGAAGCGCCTTCACCAGCCAGGCATGGAACTGAAGCCAATTTCAAACAACAAAGCCAAAGCACATCGAAAACCCTCAGAAACAACAGGGTTTGCATACCATACGGGAGACACGTGACAAGGACCACCAAGAATATGCACAGGATCTATAAAGATGTTTGCAACAACATCAAAGGGAAACACAAGACATGGTGATGGTGCGGCAATACCAAGTTGCATTAAATTAGAAAGCCTCCAAGACACGCAATTAAGGCAAAAAGACACAGACTGATCATACGTACACAATGGGCTCCAGAGAAATGCGAATTTGAGATATTGCATTTTAGCCTCATCCCGACTCATCCCTTCATAAATCTTGCGTTTTTGGAGAAGGATGTTGAGTCAGCGTTTGTCGTGAGCCTTTTTTTGGGTTTATGGGGTTTCCAGCACAACTCTCGGGACAGCCATGGCCCATCCGGGCCTGGAAAGCAGGCACCAGACGAGCCACCTCTTGCCATACTACCTCCATTCGGCAAGCAGAAACACTCTGGACAATTACCCCAGCAAAAGCAATTGGTCCAACATGAATTGATTCCGGAGTATAAGAAGCAAGGGGCGTGGAGTCTTTATAAGTGCAACGCACAATGCAGCAATCGCGTTGCGACCCATACTACTGGATTACACATTGGAAGCAAAATGTAGCCAGCCGTTCCACAATGATCAACCTGTCACATTGCCTTGGACTATATTGTGAGAATCACCAACAGTGATGTAAATTTCATTTCGTGAGCGCAATAATTTTTATCCAGCGAGCTCCCAAGAATCCAGCATGGAAAAAAATCTGATCCGTTCCGGGATTAGTTCATTGTTGCAAAAGCATTAATTCGTTATTATTCCACAACCGAACTCACCCGGCTGTGTGAGTGCATACATCCATTTCATGTCAGTGCAGTGCTAAGTGGCATTCGCAACATGCCTAGGAAAAGGAATCGCGCGTTGGTTTCGGTTGGTGGTCTGGTGTTGTGTTGTGGCCTTTGGTGTTTTCTGTTTTCTTTTTCATCCCCCACTTCTTTTTGTTAAATTCTGCGTATATAGATTGACTCCTAGGTCCTAGCAGTGTACACATATACCCCTAGATTGGCATCGCAGTGATATGTGAGAGTGCTTCGGTCGAGCTTCGACCTCGGTGCCGACCCGCCACCCACATGATCCACTGAGGACAAGATCCAAATTGTCAACAAGAGCTTTTGCCGCGTCCATCTGCGATCCGACACCACCGTCACCGAGTCGTCGGAAGTTCCGTCCGCTGGAAGTGCTGCGAGGACGTTGATCATTCAGTTTCCTGGCCAAAGAACTGTATCTTTTGATTGTTTTTGCATTTCCTGAAAGTGAGGAGTCACTTTGAACAAAGCGCAATTCACCTCATGACAGAAGAGGATTGAACATAGTGAACCACCCAACTGGTGCTGTCCACTTGAATGCGGCCTGGCAGCGACTTGTGATCTGTTAGCTCCAGGGCGTTGGGATATATTTTCTCCGTCCTCTAGATGAAATTACACCACCGTAGACCCCAAACAGTTAGTTTAGAGCTTGCGACGTCCAGAGCTGGGAGACAAATGTAAAGGATTGCAAGGCAGAGACGGACACAGCAGTACAGAGCGGGCGGACACATCTTAAGAAAGAACTGAGAAGTAAACCTTTTGGGGAATTATTCTTCAAGTGCGAACATGATGCTGGTCATGCTGCTCAATCACCGGGCAGCTGACCACGTGAGGACAAGAAATAAAGCATGAGGAGCGGATGTGACATGAAATTGATTTTTGGTGCCTGACGTATGCCCTCCGTCGCAACTGAACAGAGAGATCGCTGCCACGCCGCCGAAATCCAATCCGGTCATTCATCCAACGCTTGCCCGAAAAGGAAAACAAAGCTGAGAGAGTTACACAGCGTGGCAGCAATGCAATCCCGGAGACAGTCACGCACCCCTTTCAAAGGAGCAAGAACCTTTCACACGCGAACCTGTTCCAGCGGACAGGGCAGAAAACAGCAGTGCAGGCACCAAACCTGAAAGACAAAAAGAAAGAAGTCACATGGGAGATAAATGAATAGATATGCTACATGGCCAGCGGAAAAGGGCGGCAGCACCAGTGACAGACCCGGGAAACAAATGAATAGAAATGCTGCATGGCCAGCGGAAAAGGGCGGACGCAGTGACAGACCTGGAAAACAAATGAATAGAAATGTTGCATCGCCAGCGGAAAAA